CAATAAAAGTGGTTTAAACCACTACACTTACTATTCTTCATGAGGAAGGTTGTCCGCGACCCCTTGTTTTTTTTCAGTTACCCCATTTCAGCAGGTAGTGCTGGCTTGCTCAGGGACCGTTTCAGTAGATCAGACACATTAGCCAAGTTCTAAAATACCTCTCTGCACCATACACTACCTAAGTATAATAATCCTTTAATCTGTCCACTGCATGACATCTGGACAGTTATTTGACATAATAGCTCATGTTGATTGCGCATATCAGAATATCCTGAGAGAAAAGAGAAGTGCCCAAGAGATGAGGATTTAGGAAGATGTCTGTGAGGCAGTGAGTTGAATCAAGGGAGATCTATCTGCATGTGGCAGGTGAGCAACCTGGCCACCAATGTTGCTGTGTAAAGACTTTCTCTGCGAACAATATTATCCTGAAATAAGCACAACACAGAACAGGAAGGGGAAGATAAACCACCAGGATCCAAGTTACTGAAGCACATTAATATTTACTCGATATCTCTTTATACCCTCCAGTCAGCACGACAGATGTAGTGGTGTTTTAAGACATTATCATTCATTGAAAAAGGCAAAAAAGATAGTCTTTCCCTGCCTCCCATCCCCGGTAATCTCAGATGTTCGCCGTGCATGCCGGGGGGAGGAGGTGGAGAGCCGAGCACTGGTGGGAGAAGAATGCAATTATCCCAAAGCCTCCTGACGGGCATCCACTTCTTCCTTCCAGCTTAGCTGCTCTGACCACAGGCTGGGGGCTCATGGGACGTGGACCAGATTGAAAAAGTGGAAGCAGACAGATGGTTATTTGTAATCATCATGTAAATGTAAATCCCATAAAAATGTTTTCTTTCTAAGGACCTGAAAGCTGTTGTAGTGGAAAGCAGGATTAAGACATGGATATCTGACCTAGAATAATTTTGACCCTGCCACCTTCCCTCCTACCCCATAAACGTCCTGGTTTTATCTCTGCTTCCTTTAAACAAATTGCTGGAGCCTCAGTCGAGGAAATTAATTCCATTTCCATATGATTCCCTGAGTTTATGAGCATCAGTTTGACCGAGGCCTGGATGTTGGCCTAAGCTGACAGGTGCTGGTGAGCAGTTGCTGTGGTAGCGAGGACTTCTTTTTTCCAGCAGTGCCTGTGAGTGTTTGCCTGGGCAGTACCCTTGCTGGATGTGCTTGCTGTCCGGGGTTGTGCTCAGTGGGTACCTTTAAGTGCCTGTACGGGACTTCGCCTGCTTAAAGAGCGATGTGACAGCTCACGGGCATCTATCTGGTCTGAGCAGCATCAGCTCCTTCGAACTACAAAGAGACCAGTCAAACTTTAATTAACTTGCGTGTGCAGCACCATTGCTGGCTGCATGCACGACTTAGCTGTCCTTTCCAGCTCTCCTGTCCTTCAGTGCCTTTCCAGACAGTGAGGTGTAGCCATCCGAAAGCTTTTGCCCTTCTGAGGCTTTGCTTCATGAAACCTCGTGAGGATGTTTGCGCTGCTGTTGGGCTGGCAGAGGGGAGCAGCTGCCCTCTCCATTGCCATCGCTCTGAGGAGACCAGGTGCACTGTGGTCCCTGCATGGGTCCCATCCCAGGATGGGTTGCAGGAGATCTTCCTCTTCAGCATCCCTTCTTAAATATAGGGTAAAACCCATGCAAGCACAGAGGTAGCTATGTAATTTGTGTTAAGCTTGAAATAAGGCAAAATAAAAAAACAGGATGACAAAAAGGATCCTCGTGGCAATGCTTCATCGCTTGTGTCGAATTTTTGAAACACTAGGATTTATGCACTGTCAAGAGGGCCTTGAAGAGGGCTGGCTTCTCAAGTGAACAAAAGCCATTCCCCAGCCAGTGTGTGGAGGTGATCTGCTCAGGCACACTAATAGTTATTTGGAAGTACCCAGCAATTGTGAATAATTGGCTGAGGAATATTCTGCAGCTCTCAGCCATTTTTCTGTTTTCACAGATGATTGTGCCATTAGATATGGTGAATGCACTAAGCTGTGCTGCAACTTCTCAATTTACTGTGCTAATAAGTGTGAATTCAACTTCCCGTTGATGCTCCTTACTTCTTTCTGTGGCTTTTTGTGCTGCTGGGATGGCACAGCTGAGCTTGCCAGCTTGTACTCTGGTCTCCTCTGTATGTGCCCTTCCTCTTCCCTGCACCCATCCCTCAGGGTGATGTTTGGATGTGCTGGGTTGGCTGTGCTAATCAGAGTAATATTTGTGCTTTGTATCATCATTATATGCATTAAAAGCATTGAATCACAGGGATAGCAGACCAGTCCCTCTGGTTTTTACATTTTTTCCCTCTCTGCTGTTATTCTTACTCTTTTCCTCCCTTTACCTGCCATTTTGTTTTCACTCTCCCCAAACTTACAGTGTTCTCCCTCTTCCTCTCTGAGCTTTCTCTCTTTAATTTGTATTCCACACATTTCCTTTATCTTTATCTTTCTATCCCTGCTTTATTTTTTCCCTATTTCATTCTTCTCCAACCATGTTTTGTTTTTCTCCAAAACATAGAATGCTTTAGTTGAAAATGGTGAGATATATCTATTCAAGATTCGCATATGTGCTGAGGTACAGAGGAAGATTAAGTAGACCCCATAGCATCAATTTTGTCTTCCATTCAAGTCAGTAAGACTTGGGTAAAGGAATGTGATAAAATCAAATCACCTCTTAGCCTCATACTCTGAGGCTGATTGGAACCTTACACAGTTGCTGGGATGATTCAGAGAAAGTTAATGTAATTTGTTGTGTATCACCCCAAGAAACTGTGTTTGTCAGCTTCATGTAGCAGTGTGAAATGTTCAAGGAAAATGCTTTCCTTAATAGTGGTGCCAAGAATTAGGAGTCAGGAGTATAAAGTCATTATGTTGTGGGATCTGCTGATTTTCTGGGGATTTTCCACTGATGGATTTGCACTGAAGTTCTGTAATTGTGCAAAGTATCAAGCCAATAACAATTGATATTTATTTTGTGTGTAAGAATAATGGAAGAATTTGATGCTTATCCATAGTCCAGTTATATGAAAGAGGGCATAGTGTCACCTAGAAGTATTTTTTCTTCCTGTTTATCATAGGGATCACAGACACATGGAGATGCTTGTTAAAATAGGTGATTTTGTAACAGGTTTGGGGTTTTTGTGTTTTTTTTTGTTTGGTTGGTTGGTTGGTTTTGTTTGTTTGTTTGTTTTTTGATTCTTTCACTGAAACTGCTGTAGTATTATCTTTCTTGGCTTTGTGAAGTGTTGTAATGCCAAATAGTCAACAGCCCATGATCTTCAGCACGCTGTTTCTGTGTTGTGCATTGCCTAAGTTATTTTTTCCATTTGGTCTTGAAGCTTTATAAATTCTATTTCTGTCAATTTGATAATTGTGAATCAAAAGTGTAAGAGTGATTTCTATTAATTGGAAATATTTTGAGGTTGGGTCTTTTGTTTTCTGTTGGAAAAAATGTATCAACGGGGTGTGTCACCTAAGAAGACTGAGTTCTTGCCAGAGCTGCGTTTGTTACCAGTTCATCCCGTCACTTCTATTTTATGCTCCAAGAGCAAGACCTAAATAATCACTCTTTTTTGTGTTACAAAAGGAATTAACTTCCAATTAATTTCGTCCTTCCTCTGGGATCCACCTGTGTATTCCAAAATGGGGAACAATAAAAGTTACCTTATATGTCATTTTGAGTGCCACATGTATACAGGCTGCTCACCTCAGCCCATTCTGAGACCAATTCTTATATGTATTAATCATATTTTCTTCTGGCTTATTACAGAACAGAAAAATATTCAGTTCCAAATGTTAACATGGGGCACATTTTATTAACATTGAAAGCAGTAAATTATCTCTGCTTATGAAATGAGACTGAGCAATTTCTGCTGAACTCTTCCTGACTGGCCCCTTCACTAGGATACAGTGTTTTCTAATTTCTCAGAGGGCCCTGGTTCCATTAAGGGCGAGAACTGTTTTAAAGCTGTAATGAAAGACATACGTAGCTGAAATTCAAGGAGGGGAAATGCCCTAAATTCTATTTCAGTAGCTCATCTAGAGCTATTTTCAGTTTTATGTTTATAAGAATGTCAATTAACCTAGAGACTAGGACACACATGGAAGAATAATGATGAAGTGGATATAATTTTAACACGCTGAAGCCAGCTAGATGGACCTAATCCTTCTTTATAAAAGCTTGATTTACATAAGAGGTTGGCCTATGTTGCCTAATTTAGTCCTCAAACAGCTTGGTGGTTTAAATGCTCTTTCCTTTCAATGTTGTGGGACAGCACCGGTCAAAGTTGCAAGAATATTAAAGCAAAAAAAAGCCATAAATAAACGGAAGAAATAAATAATGTAGAAACACACTGCCATCAGCTTGATTTCTCTGACACCTTTCAGAACTGTTGATCACTTTGACATGTATTTGGGGATAACAGTAACACTGCTACTAATAATGCCTGTAATCAAGGTGTAACTGCAATTCAGTATCAGTTGTGTCACTTCTTTACCTTGCTTATGCTGAAGTTAGAGATTCAGGTAAACCAGGTATTTAGCTAAGCAGTGCTACATGTCTTTCTAATTTAAATGCAGAGCAGTGGTCTTATCTGGAGAAAAAGCAAGGGAAAAAAAAATCCCTGTATATGAAATCTGCCTCCTTCGGACGAAAGGTCATGCCTCACTAACTTCTTTTATGAGATCTTGCATAATCTGTATAAGATGCAAAGTCATCATCTAATAACAGCTGGCAGGTTTTGGTTTGTTTGCTTAATATTATGTCTGTCTGCATGTATTTTTTTTTTCCCCCTACTTACAATTTCATCACTTGTAGTAAGTTTTTTCTTCTTTCCCTTATTTATTGCATTAGTGCTACGGGATGACTTCCGCCAAAACCCTACTGATGTTGTGGTGGCAGCTGGAGAGCCTGCCATATTGGAGTGCCAGCCACCTCGTGGACACCCTGAGCCTACCATCTACTGGAAGAAAGATAAAGTCCGTATTGATGACAGGGAAGAG